CTAGAACTTCGCTTGATCTCTAATACCTCATGGCTCTAGCTGTGGACCTACAGCCATGGATGCAAGCCTCTAGAACCATAATTTTAGCACTCCAGGTTTCCACATCCATGGCTGCAAAACCACAGTCATGGCTGCAAGTCTCTAATGCTTCATTCTTGATCTCCAGGTTTCCATGGCCATGGCTACAGAACCACAACCATGGCTACAATTTTCTAACTTCCATAATTTCGTTCTAGATTCTCACAGCCATGGCTGCAAAATTCTGTCTTCCACAAATTTTCTACAAAAAAGGGAGAAAATTACCATTAAATTTCCACTACTCTTCTATCTTCTAATTTTACCTATTTTGGGGTTAAATGACATCATCCTATTTACATTTTGATTAAAAAGAGTGCTAAATGTTCAATCAAAATCATGAATAACAAGCACTCAACAGTTCCTAACTTATATAGTTCAATAATCCACAAAAACTCAACTAAGCAGATTTTTGACAACTTTTTCAACCAATTTTGAGTTATTTTTATGTGCAAACAAGGCCTAATAGATAACATATCATCCACTACCATTTTTCATGCCTTATGCATCATTTTGAAGCCTTAAAATAAAATTTTAGCTCTTACAAATGGTTATGAACAACAACCATGTTTTACAAGTAAAATATAGAGATATAACTTCATATAACTCAAAAACACAAACAAATGTAACAAGAGATTAAAAAATCTCTTCAAACAGTAAAAAATCAAAAGAATGAGTATAATCCCCTCTCTTACCTCTTTAATCAAGAGTTTTAAGTATGAGTATCACAAATAAAGTTTTCTAGCAAGCTCTAGAGTGATTTTATGAAAAATAGAAAAAGCAAAGAGGGAAAAGGATTACAATATTGAAATGAAGAGGAGCATAACAAGGATAGATGTAGGAGAACTCACTTGAGAATCAAAGGACGAATTATTTTTATAAAAAAAAAAAAAAAAAACTCTTCTTCTCTATCAAAACGTTGGACGCACAAAAGTAAAGAGAAAAGTTGAAGTTTCATGTATATAATACGAACAAAATTAGATACTTTTAAAAAAAATTGGATAAAGATACTAATATGTATCATTTTTAAAGAGACTTGTTATGTGATTTGATTAGTAGCATAATTGGCTCGGTCTCTAATCCACTAACTCAGTATCATGATTGATTTGATGACTATCCAATTTTTTTTGTGGTTACCTTAAACTTAAAGATAATGTAGTTATCTTTAGTTTGAAGATCCTAATTTTTTTTTTTTTTAATATTTGTATAGACATTTATTCTTGAAAATCATTTTTTCTTTTTGCTTGATTATTTGCAAATTAGGAAATGTTTGAAAGGACTCTGTTAAAATGTAATGCATACATAGAATATTAGACGATACAGAGTTGCTGAGCACAAAAGAATTACTCGAAGACTTATCTTGAGCTAATTATGCTGTGGTTTTCATTTTAATTGATTTTTGGGTTAAACTTTCATGGTAGAAGAAAAATGATACATGGGAATATATAACTTTTTTTTTGTCTTTTCTTTTTTGCAATTGAATTGTGACATTAGATTTTAAATAGAAAAATATTTTTTTTGGTATATATCATTCTTATTTAATTTGTTTTCTTCTTTATTCATATACATGATTGCATGTAAAATGCACATACTTATAATATATTTAATATAACTCTTTATTTTGATATTTGATATTTCTTAAGTTTCTTCATGGAAATGGAACAAAATAAATATTTTTTTCAATATAATATTATATTTCAATATTTGAATCTTTTTGCTCTCTAAACTAGTAGTGACACTAAATCAATTTATTGTCCTATAAAGGCTTGTCTATGCACCACTCTCCCTGATAATTTTACTTTTATTTTTTAATTGTAAGTTTTTCAAGTTTCGTTTTCGTCATTAAAAAGTTTTTATATTTTGATCCTTCTAATTTGAAACTATATTACTTTTATTTTTCATAGCTATTTATGTAGCATTTTATAAACTGATATTTTTTTAATTATAATATTAATATAAAGTATTAATCACAAAAAATAGTAATTAATATTGGTTGAAGACCATGAATATATTCCTTTCTAATATAATTTATTTCATATTCAAAGACATGATAATACATCTTTTTATAATTTATTAACATTATATTATTTGATTAATGTAATAAAAACATGTCTTTTTAATTAAATTGTGTATTTATTTTTATGTTTTAAATATTTATATTTTAAAATCTTTATATATATAAAAACTCATATCAACAAGTTATTAATTCAAATAATATTAAACTGAACTCTTCTATAAAAGGTATGAGGGTAATCGGTCCAATTTCTTCACGACAATAGATAACATAATATTATGCCACTAACATAATTATAAAAAAAATACATGAAAAACCCATATTTATCGTTTTGTTCAGGGTGCATAAAATATCAGTACAGACCCAACGATCCTGGATTAGGGAGATATTTGATTTACAAAAAACTTATTAACAAATAACAAAATCTTAATTAAAATGAGATAAAATTTATTAATAAATGAGATAACATCATTAAATGAGATGTCTACATTTGATTGGTCGAGGAAAGTCAAGCTACACTGTAAAATGCGACAGAAGAATTTGCCTTTGCGGAAACGTGTGGTATGAAGAAAAATCATATATATCATCAAAAAAAAAAATCAAATACAAAACGTGGCTTGAGATAACTTAGTTTGACTTTTGGATTTTCGTTTTCTTCGCGTCATTGTTGATCGATTGTCTCCCACATATTTTGTATAATTTAAGTTAATCTTGAAGCATTGGCAATGGTATGGGACCCACCAAATCAGCAAAATTTTCTATAATCAATCTTTTATCAACCACTCGTAATTACAGTCCAATTACTTGAAGTAATTAAGAGCAACTCTAATGAGAGTTGCTTGTCCTATAAAGCAACTCAAATCTCGATTTCTTGTCATTGGAGGATTTTGACGTGGCAACATGAGTTGCTTGAAGAAGAGAGAGAGTTGCTTCCTCAAGCAACCGTTCCTTACCAGATTTTAAGCAGATCTTATTGAACATATTTAGAAACGTTTCGAAAATAATAATGATGAAAATTAATTTTGTATAATATTTATGTATTTATTATTGCTTTATTTTATTTTTAATATTTACTTATTGTGTATTTTTTCTCATAATTTATTTTTTTTCATTGAAGCGTAATTATCCTTTTTAATAAAAATTTAAATTTGGTTCATAAATGATTAGAAAAAAATTCTAAAAGTTGAATTTCTTAAAATTTCTTATTATTGAAGTAAATTTATATTTGAGTTGCTTAATGCTGATATGGCACACTAGAGACCACTTCTTTTATTTTTCAATGCATGAAACAACTCAAATGAGTTACTTCCACTGGAGATGCCCTAAGTGGCTATTCTAATTTCCATGGCTTTGATTCGGTGTAACTTTTTCTATTGCATCGACTTTTCCGTTAATACATATATAACATTGACAACGTGACATTTTGATTTACCCTCGTCAGAGTTTCAGAAAATGAAATTACCACTAATTCTAATTAAGTTAAGGAGCCCAAATATAAAGTTGCAGGAAAATTAAACAGTTGGAACAAATGAAATTAACAAGTAGAAAATAACTAAACATACTATTTTTTATTAATCAATATAAATTACAATAATAGAACAACACAACAATATTATATTCAAACTTCATATTTTGTTCATATTATGCAACTCCAACTATTAAGCCGAAACTAAATATACATTAATTGTTATAGAAGGAAAAAGAAGGCAAGAAAAAGAAATTCTTTACAAAACAATTGAATATGCACGTTGATAATTATTACTATAAAAAAAAGTTACATATAATGTATGACATACAAAGTATTATTATAAATATAAAATATATAGATACAAATATATTTATTATATAGTTAATTTTAATATTAATTTTGAATGAGATTTAACATACATTACATATCATTATAATATATATTTACACTTTTTAATAATATATCAATATATATTAAGTAAAAGTTACTTATAAAAATATTGTATTATTATATGATGCATGTCACTATTTAACCATTTTTTAATGAATTAAAGTATGCTATTTTAAAATGCATAATAAATTTTAAGTAATAAAGTAGAATTATAATCATTAAATAAAAATCAATAATTAACTATTATAATAATTGGTTGTATGTGAGCATTCATTTTAAAGTAAAGTATATTATTATTATTATTATTATTATTATTATTTTTTATATATATATATTTCTAACTTGTCTTTTTGCATCATCAATCGTAAAGAATATGTATTGTTAAAATATAAAGAATGTTATAACTAGATTTAAAATTTAAATAATAAAATTTAAAATAAATATAAATTAAGTAATATTTGAATCATCTTGTAGCTGGGACAAAGTATTCATCAACAAAATTAACCATTTTTATCCAAATTTTTTCTCTCTAAATGTTATTTTTTTTATTCATAATATTCACGTTTAATATCTTAAGTGAATAATCTAAATTCACTTGGATCAAAAGCATATTGATATAACTAAATAAGTAATTATATAAACATAAAAGGATTTTATATTTTTCATTTTAACATGAACTTCATGAGAATATTTATCTATCTACATAGTATATAATTTCTAGGACTCTATAGGGGACCACGGCACTATTTTTCAGATCCATATTCAGATTATCAAATATATTTTTTTTTAATCAAAATTAGAAATTAAGTCTTCCATAAATATAAACATTCTCTTAGACAATGAAATAGTACTTCTACAATCATGCCCTACATTTAGGCTCAACGTTTAAATGTTGATCTAGAAATTCGCTCTTCTTGCGTGCGTGGTAACATTTGACTACCTCTTCATGCACGTGCTTAGTTGTCACTTGGTTGGTTATTGCCATGAACTATGAATGGTTGTCATATATTTATCTACGATTGAAGCTAACAATTAACACCTCCATTCCTCTTCTCTCGCCCCGTTGAAATTTTCCACAATAATTAGCATTTTCTAAGAATTAATTCCGTGTTCTTTGCGCCCTTCATTTTCTGCAATATGAATAGCGTTTGTTCACCTTACTTTGATCCTGATTTCGATACTCTCCCAGAAAGAATATATGGTCCACCGTAAGTAATTCTTCAAACTCTTCAGATTAGGTTTCAAATTTGTTTGATCACATGCAATGAAAAATTGAATAATTTTCCATGCAACTCACGTATGTTAATTCGTTTTATAGTTGCCAAGTTTGCATTGACAATGAAAGCATGGAAGGATGCACAGTGGTGAAGGTACGTACCTTGATTACAGAATATTACAATAAAACTGTTCAAATTAATTAGCAAGATTTTACATTCGATCGGTTTTGCTTCATTGCAGAAAATTGTTCACAAATACGACCTATGTGGGTCACATTTTTACAATCACATGAACATCAAAATCTTTTACGTTGCATTTGCAAGTTTTCGAATACATTTATTACAATCCAGCTAACAAGTAATGATTAACAATGCAAGAACATGGTTTAATTTGAAAAATACATCACTGTTTCATTTCAGGTTGATAGCGTTAACAAACAGGGTCTCCTTCTAGAAGTGGTGCAAATTTTGACGGACATGAACCTTCAAATATGCAAAAGCTTTATTTCATCTGATGCTGGTTGGTTCATGGATGGTGCGCACTAATTAAATCTCTTCTATCAATTTTACATATTTAAATTAAATATGCATTTCAGTCTAATTAAAATTCATGTATCATTCATTTGCAGTGTTTCATGTCAGAGATGAAAATGGCAACAAACTAAGCGACCAGAAAGTGATTAACGACATCCAACAGGTACTGCTATTTCCCAACAAAAAATATTGGTTTTCCATTTCTTGTGGGGCTAGCTAGAAAGATGTTTCAAAAAAAAAAAACTCCATCCATATTTTTTTTTTTACATTTAAGATTATACACAAGAAAATGATTGGTATTTTACTTTTTTGAAATATTTATTACTTATTTTTCTGTTATACTTTTTATGTAGTTAAAAAAGAAATAAGTACATTAAAAAATGAATACACACATTGTTCAGTAAATACATTAATTATTAAAAATAAAAATAAAAAAATTAATAAATTATGGATTTTAAAAAAATGACGATGAAAAAAAAATACTAAAATGATTATAAATAAAAAACGGAGGGGTATCTATTTTAGATGAAAAACATTTATCTCACACGCCTCTTTATTTTATATTTTTTAACACGAAAAATTAGTGTATGATCCGGAATCATGTAAGTCTAGTCAACCTTGACTTGATATGTTATCATATTTTTCTATTTATAAAAAAGAGTTAATAAATAGAATTAGAATTAGATTTTTACTTTAATAATTCATGTACAAAAAAAAATAATAAAAAATCACTACAAATTACGGAACCGAAACTCTAATTTTAATTCAAATGCAATAGTACAAATTATGGAAATAATCATATTCCATTACATGAATAGTCAGCCTCAGTATATGAGAGATAAATTTAATTTCGTAGATTTTTTACGAGTATTTGGAAAAATTTAACTCTAAACACAAAATTTAGTTTTATTTGAAAAAAAAAACATAAATGTAATTTAGTAGACATTTTTAGCAGCATTTTCTAATTGGAATTAAAATTTTATTTTAATAATTCACGTAACAAAAAAAAATCAATCAAATAATTAGTACAAATTACTAAACTAAATTCCTAAGTTTTAATTTTACATGAGATCTTTGTATTAATTTTTGCTTTTCACTACCGAATTTTTTTCAAAAACAATGATAAAAACACTCGAAAAATTACATCCAAGTTAATTAAGTTTCAAGCTTTTAATTTTGGATAAAAAAAACCCTAATCTAAACAAGTTAATTAAGTTTCAACCTTTTAATTTTGGATTAAAAAAAACTTAATTTTCTGATTAGTTTTGCATGTTCTTTCTTCTTGTTACATAGAAATGGGGTAGTAAAGGGTACGTAAATCTGAAAAAGCATGCATGCAGGCCATAGGAAGATCAAGAGCCTCCCCACCGTCACAACAATACACCAACATCACCGCTACCGCTGCCACCGCTGCCGCCGCCGCCGCCACCAACTCGGTGATGCCAACAATCGCCAACTACAAGAGCCACTCCAAGAAGCTCTTCCCCTTGATCCCCCACCCCAACGACCAACACACCGCCATAGAGATGACCGGCGCCGACCGCCCCGGCCTCTTCTCGGAGATCTCCGCCGCCCTCGCCGACCTCCACTGCAACATCGTGGAGGCCCACGCGTGGAGCCACAACGCCAGGCTCGCATGCGTGGCTTATATCTCCGACCAGTCCACCGACTCTGCCATCGACGACCCTTCTCGCCTGGCCTCCATAGAGGACCACCTCACCACCGTGCTGCGCGCCACCACCAACCCCAGCGGAGGCGG